CCAACGTTATTAAAATTATCTTATTATTTAACTACATACTTATTCATAATACACTCCATTAAACCTTGACTCAAGAACGCTCATAAAAACGAATATATTTTAGTAATACGTTTATATATTGCACGTAATAGATACCCATAACCCATGTTATGCCCATAATTGTTCAATATTTAGGAAAAAAATCACTGGTCGCTCCTGGAAATACCAAGAGACAAACTGGCGTCACTTTCCATGAGGATTGTATAATGTTGCACTTTTGTTGTAATCAGTGGGTGGCTCTTAAAAGAGCCTTTTTGTTGCGACGGGTAAAACAGATTTACTTCTTCTTGGGAGCGGCCTTCTTAGGCTTGGCCGCCTTTGGCTTCACCGTCTTGGGTTTAGCAACCTTCTTAGGGCTCTTGGTTGCTTTCTTGGCAGCCGCTGGCTTCTTCGCTTTCTTCGGGCTTTTTGTTGCTTTCTTAGCAGCTGCAGGCTTCTTGGCTTTCTTGGGGCTCTTTGTGGCCTTCTTCGCGGCGGTCGGTTTCTTCACCTTCTTGGGTGACTTAGCGGCGGGTTTCTTTGCTGCGGGTTTCTTGGCTTTTACTGCAGTTTTCTTGGCCGCTGGCTTCTTCTTGGGCTCGGCTTGCTTCTTGTTCAGCTTGAAGGAACCTGAGGCGCCTGTGCCTTTAGTCTGGACCAGGGTGCCGTTAGTCACCAAGGCCTTGACGGCAATTTTGACGCGGGAATTGTTCTTCTCCACATCGTAGCCGCCAGCAGAGAGAGCTTTCTTCAGGGCTGCGAGGGACACGCCGTGTCTCTCCTTGGAAGCGGTCACAGTCTTGACGATGAGATCGCGGACATTTGGACCCGCTTTCTTGGGCTTAGAAGCCGCTTTCTTCTTAGGAGCTTTAGCTGGCGGGGCAGCAGGAGCGGTTTCAGCCATGGTTCTCTGAGCGGATGTAGTCACACCTCAACACAGTTTGTGAGATCAATGAAGTGGCGCAGCTGAGCGGCTGTGAACTTAACTACCATATGAGGACCGTGTAGACTCAACATAATACTCCGCATAGCAATCTGGCGCCTAAACTTTGACCAAATTTAAACCTTTTTACCATTACAATATTTACTCATTAATTCTCCTGTGCTTGCGTATGTTTACTGTTCTGTAAACGGGTTAGTTGCGTATTCCAGTTTAAATGTAAACAACAGCTTTTTTTGTGATTTATTACTGATCTGTTTTTTTTTTTTTTGAAAAAGTCCACTTTTGTGTAAACAAAATCTACACAATTTATTTGTAATAATTTTGATTTGTTTCCATTAAAATGTAAGAAATAGTGCAACAGTAGACAAATGATAATGTAAATATAATTATGGCTATTTTATTTATTCATTATTATTTATTATTATGAATTGTGACACTTTGTCAAAACGCATATTAAACTTAATGTGAATTCTCACAACAAAATAAATATCAAACACTAACTACTGATACTAACAAATTATCTTCTTTATTAAGCCGTTTTTATGAAATGGCGTATCGACAGGCTTATTTTTAATGACATACCAAATAAAAAAAATACAACACATTTTCAAAACACGCTGTATAATATTCTACGTCATTTATATCCATGTATTACCATTTCATTAGATTTACTATAAACTATTTCGTAAATACAACATGATCCTGCACCAAGTTAGTAGTAATAAAAACTGAAAATACAGAATTCAATTTTTATTTTATTTAATACCGCCAAAGCTGCATTTGGTTAATTTATTTTATCAAAACTACTCAACCTAACGAAAAACTAATTATAATGATAATTATTAAAATGTGCGGTTTGAATAAGTTGGAATGTGCTCTTTATGAAAGTGTGGGTGGCTCTTAAAAGAGCCGTTGGGTTTTCAAAATGGGGCGCAGATGTTTAACCGCCAAAGCCGTACAGAGTGCGTCCCTGTCTTTTCAGCGCGTACACAACATCCATGGCGGTCACGGTCTTTCTCTTGGCGTGCTCGGTGTAAGTAACAGCATCGCGGATAACATTCTCCAGAAACACCTTAAGAACACCACGGGTCTCCTCGTATATCAGACCGGAGATACGCTTCACACCGCCACGGCGAGCGAGACGACGGATAGCGGGTTTGGTGATTCCCTGGATGTTATCACGGAGAACTTTACGGTGACGCTTAGCGCCTCCTTTTCCGAGTCCTTTACCACCTTTGCCTCTTCCAGACATGATTTCTTTACAGATCGGATCAACGAGTAAATAAAAAGCTCTGCGAGTGACATTTTAAAATCGCCTACAGGACCTAGTTGAAACACTGAAAGGCGGATCTATGTGACATCACAATATGTGACGTAATAACCTTTCTCGACCCCACCCCCTTAACCCAACCTTTACTGTAACGTGACCAATCCGGGTAACATAGTGAAAAAAAACTGTGCCATTTGGCCTCCTTTGACGATTTAATCATACAGAACTCAATCAAAATTATTAGCCCTCCAGTAAAATTAGATTTGTTTTCCTTCTTCAATATTTCACCAGAGCTGTTTAGCAATGAAATTCTCTCAGTATCATTAGTATGTTTATCATTATTATGTTATATTTTTCTTATGAAAAAAAAAAATCCTATTTATTTTAGCATGGCTGGAACAAGAAATGCATATTAGTAATATCAATATTATTAAGAAATAATAATAAACTAACCTTTAAATTGTACTAAGCTGAATACTAGTATCTCACAAAATAACTACAAAATATTATGTTCTGTCATTATTCTGTTATGAATGTATTATTAAAAATACTATGTTTAAAATTGTGGAGAAAGCTCCAGTCTCCTACAACTAATTCTTAATGTTAAATTTAGATTACTGCTTTAAACATATCAATACTAAATATAATAGAAATAAAAAATACAAATATTGGACAGCAACAAATATTTACTTTAGAGAATTTTGTTTCAAATGAACTGAAAATGGGGCTGTAAGGAAATACATGCAGCATTTATGGCAGGTTTTTGTCAGCGTGTTGGTCAGTTTGTACTTAGAAATCCCCTTTTGCAATAAAGCACCTATTGTGTTTGTTCTGTGGAAAGCTCTGCTAAAATAGCGATAAAGGCTAATACTATTCATTTTGATTAAACATATGTATCATTAAAGTTCTCATTAAATAAGGACTGAACAATTAATAAAATAGTAAAATATCACAATACTTGTGCCTCGGTAATAGTATTGAGATTTTAAATACAGAAGTTGGCATTTGAAGTGGTTCAAAAACAAGAACAGTTTTAGGACAACTTTGCTGAAAGGTGATGATCCACTTCAGATGTTGATTACTGTGTTCACTGCAATACATTGCATTTTATTATTTTTTCTAAAGTTAAAAAATGTCCCCAATGGAAAACTATGGCACATCTGTTTTAATTAAACAGAAATATTTCCTACTTTAACTCACTTCAGTTTCTTTGCATCACATTTTATATAATATACATTTGATACGGAGAATTGTCGCAAAAGCATGTTTAGTTTTTTTTGACTGAATCATTGTGAAAAGCTGATTCACACCATATCTGCTCTCGTCTATATTAAGTGTTTCTCTCATTTCCATCTTTACAATGGAAGCATAAAAGTAGTACATTTATTTTTTAACATAATATGCAAAGTAGCAATGCAATATGTAAAACTGCAGTGTATTTCTTAAATAAAAATTGACATTTGCCAGTTTTACCATGTAAATGGAATGATAGAAATGTAATACTGAGTAAAAATCTGAAAATATATCAGAATAATCGTTTAAATGTCATTTGTTTTAATACAATTAAGGTCCAGGGTGATATTTTCATTTTGACTGCACCATACGATGTTTGTAGCTAAATTCAATGTGTATTTTAAAACAAATTCTGCACAGAATATTTTAAAAATTATAACAAAATGGTGAGTTAAATGTATTTTTTTTTTTTTACATTTTTACATTTACACAGCAAGAAGGCTGCTGGTTTGAGCCTTGACTGGCTCAATTGGCATTTCTGTGTGGAGTTTGCATGTTCACCTATGGCGTGGGTTTCCACCGGACACATGCACTATAGGGTAATTGAGTAGGCTAAATTGTCCGTAGTGTATGCATGTGAATGAGTGTGTATGCATGTTTCCCAGTGATGGGTTGCAACTGCAGGGCATCCGCTGCGTAGAACATATACTAGATAAGTTGGCGGTTCATTCCGCTGTGGCGACCCCTATTATCATACATTATTAAGGGACTAAGCTGAAAATATTTACCACTAGAACTAACAAAAAAAAATATCCTGGTGCAAAAACTACAACACAGAATAATGTTGTGGTATTAAAGACATTTAAATGAACAAGAAAAATCAAGATACGCGTAAAAAAGACTAAATAGATACACTTTTGTATTTTGTTATGCAATAATTCATTTGAATTCAAATTTTATGCGACTAAATTCTTATTTTAATGGATAAATTATTTAATAAAACAATTAACAGGTTTTGTTTAAATGCACCAAAATGTATTGGCTATATCCATCTGAAACTGCTAAAAACTAGTTTTTTTTAAATGTAGTATGCTCATTTATACTGAGCACTATTTAAACATTGTGTATATATTACTCTGTCACTCGGCAATCTCAACAGGTAACCCCAGACAAGCAAAGACAGGCCCTCTAGTGTGACTTGGGTCCTCTTCCAGTAAGACAACCCTGGAACATTTCCAGTCTGTTGTATTTAGGAAAACCCAATATTATTAAGAAATAACCACAAAATATTACGTTCTGTAATCATTCTGTTATGAATGTATTATAAAAAATACTGTTTAAAATTGTGGAGAAAGCTCCAGTCTCCTGCAACTTATACTTAATGTTAAATTTAGATTACTGCTTTAAACATACCAATACTAAATATACTAGAAATAAAAAAATACAAATATTGGACACCAATAAATATTTGCTTTAGAGAATTTTGATTCAAAAGAACATTTAAAAACGTAAAATAAGACTGCAGGTACAATTACGGAATACTCACAAATTTTTATTAATTATTACTTGTGTAAACTAGCCACGGGTTTGCTATTCAGCATTACGAAATTTGTTTGTTTAACAGACCCTTTTGTTGACACTGGTAACTAATGCAATAATTTACTTCTGCTAAACTCAAGACGACATAATCAGACCGCTCTTTCAAGGAGAAAGTGGGTGGCTCTAAAAAGAGCCTTTGAGGGGTTTGTTTATCAGACAGCAGCTATTTATTTGCCTTTGGCAGCCTTCTCGGTCTTCTTGGGAAGCAGAACGGCCTGGATGTTGGGCAACACACCACCCTGAGCGATGGTCACTCCACCCAGAAGCTTGTTCAGCTCCTCGTCGTTGCGCACCGCCAGCTGCAGGTGACGGGGGATGATACGGGTCTTCTTGTTGTCCCGAGCGGCGTTTCCAGCCAACTCCAGGATCTCAGCGGTCAGATACTCGAGCACAGCGGCCAAGTAGACTGGAGCACCGGCACCAACACGCTGAGCATAATTTCCCTTACGGAGCAGCCTGTGAACACGGCCAACGGGAAACTGAAGACCAGCCCTGGAGGAGCGAGTCTTAGCCTTAGCTCTAGCCTTACCGCCTGTTTTGCCTCTTCCGCTCATGTTGTGGAATTACTCGTCCGTTGAATCAATCATACTGAGCAAGGCAGTCAGTATTTAAAGGAGTATGTTCACTTTCTATTGGTCAGAGTCTTCGGAAGGTAAAAGCCAATCACTGCACCTCCCTCCAAATCCCAATCCCCCGCTCGTTCTCATTGTTTGTCTTTTGCAACGAAAATTCGTCCTGTAACAAAATTTGATGAGTTCTAGGCAATATGGGTATGTGTACAATCCGGGTCCGTTTTGTTCATTTGTTTTCCATTTTTAAATATAACCTGTTTAATGACAAAAACAACAAAAAAAGAAACATTAACTCTGGGTGTATTGAGTCTGGAGATTTTATGTCCTAAACAAATATAGTCAAAACACATGGATAAAAGGGAGTCTCTTATGATAGTTAGTGCATGAACATTACAGTCCTAACATAAATATTGGTAAACGGAAAAACTCTTTAAAGGAGAATATGGGTGGCTCTTAAAAGAGCCTTTGGGTCTTTGCAAGTTATTTCAGCGCTTTACTTGGAGCTGGTGTACTTGGTGACGGCCTTGGTGCCCTCAGACACGGCGTGTTTGGCCAGCTCACCGGGCAGCAGCAGACGCACGGCGGTCTGGATCTCTCTGGAAGTGATGGTGGAGCGCTTGTTGTAGTGAGCGAGACGAGAAGCCTCACCGGCGATGCGCTCGAAGATGTCGTTGACGAACGAGTTCATGATGCCCATCGCCTTGGAGGAGATACCAGTGTCGGGATGGACCTGCTTCAGCACTTTGTACACGTAAATGGCATAGCTCTCCTTCCTCGATCTTCTACGTTTCTTCCCGCTTTTACCTGAGGTCTTGGTGACGGCTTTCTTGGAGCCCTTTTTGGGCGCAGTCTTTGCTGGCTCAGGCATATCTAAACGATGAAGTTGAAACCTCAGTTATTGACGCTTCTTCTTCTTCTTCTTCTTATGGGGTTAATGGCGGTTGGCAGACCAACTTAAATGGTGCATTTCCGCCACCTACTGGATAGGAGTGTGGAGCGCATAATGTTGGAAAAAGCATGAGTACTAAAGATATATGATACGAATGGAGGGATGAGATTACCATAGGGAAGAGAGAACAGTAATAACAGTAGGAGGAGAGGAGAGAAAGAAAGAAAAAAATACTAGTTAAAAATCATAGTAAATTTTATTTCCTTATTTTGCTAAGCTATTCTTAAATTCTATTAATCAATTTTGTTTCCTTTAAGTAATTAATTAATTGCATTATTATTTCAACTTGATTTGAACTGTTTCCTAATAGGGTCTGAAATGACAAATTTTTAATCCCATAAATACTTAATCCTTGAACTAACTGATATCTCTGATTGTCATATGCCACACATTCTGTAATTACATGTTCTAATGTTTCTATTTTCCCGCATTTATCACAACATCCTGTCTCGTGCTTCCCTATTCTAAACTTATACTGGTTTAGCAAACAATGACCAACACGCAACCTAGTTATTACCACATCATTCCTTCTATTACCAAACTTATTTCTAGTACCACCCACACATCCTTGAATATTATGCATATGTCTGCCTTTTTCTCCATTATCCCACTCCCTTTGCCACATTCTACCTGTTTCTTTTGCAATTATGTTTTTTACCTCTGACTTACTTATTTTTATTTTTATTTCTATCTGAGTATGTTGTAATGCTTCCTTTGCAAGTTGGTCTGCCTCTTCATTACCTACTACTCCCATATGACCAGGAATCCACAAGAAGCTTACAGAAAGTCCACCCTGTCTGATTCTGAATAAATTTTGCATTATCTCATTCATTATGTCCTGTCTTGCCTTAGATGTTCCAGTAATTAAGTTGTTTAGTACTGACAGAGAATCGGAGCATATTACTGATCTTAATGGTTTCACGTCTTCTATCCACTGAAGAGCAAGAAGTATAGCTACAATTTCTGTAGTGTACACAGAAAGTCGGTCCGTTATTCTTTTTGATATTTTAATATTGAATTTTGGGATGTAAACTGCTACTGCCGTTTTTTCATCTTTAGGATCTTTTGACCCATCTGTATATATCTGTAAATAATTGAAATATGACTGATTTATGTATTGTTGTATTTCTTTTTCATTTAACATATTATTTTTGTGTTTTTCCTCATGTAGTAATAAATCGACTACTGGTTTATGGAAAAGCCAAGGCGGAATCGCAGAGGTTGGCACAGCAGGGGCTAAATTGATGTCTCTTATGCCCATATTTTGAGCCTCGTCTTTTACTGTCCAACCAAAACTATCTATCTTTTTATGTCCATATTCCCAACATTCCTTTAGTACTGTTTTTACTGGGTGCCTCTCTTCTTGGCTTTTAATGCTAACCCAATATCTCATTTTTAACTTAATTCTTCTAATTTTTAGAGGCATTTCCCCCATCTCTACTTGTAATGCTATAATGGGTGTAGTTCTTAGTGCTCCACAGCATATTCTTAGTGCCTGAGATTGAATCGCATCTATTTTCAACAACTGAGTTTTAGCTGCGGAACTATATACTACGCATCCATAATCTATAGTAGATCTTACCAGTGCATTATAGATTCTTTTAAGCGAGAAACGACATGCACCCCATTCAGCTCCTGCCAGACACCTCATTACATTAATTCCTTTTTTACATTTATCTATTATTTTTTGAATATGCATATTAAAATTCAGTTTTACATCCATCCACATTCCTAAATATCTAATTACTGATACCTGTTCTATTTTTTGTCTGTATATATTAATATTTATATTTGGATTAACTTTCTTTTTTGAAAAACAAATAACCTGAGTTTTATCAGTAGAAAATCTAAACCCCCACTCATCCGCCCAATCTTGTACTGTCCTCACTGCATTCTGTAAACACCTTTCTACATGAACTACATTTCTTCCCCTCTTCCATAGCGCACCATCATCTGCATATAAAGATCTCCCGATCCCCAACTCCATTTTTGAAAAGATGTCATTTATCATGATATTAAATAGGATAGGGCTGCTAACACTCCCTTGTGGTGTTCCGTTCTCTACCTTATATATTTGGGAGAATGCAGAACCCACTCTAACTTGTATTGTTCTTTTTAACAAAAAATTCTTGATCCAGTTATACATTTTTCCATTAATTTCCATTTTTTCTAATTTAATTAAAAGTCCTTCTCTCCACATCATGTCGTATGCTTTTTCAATATCGAAAAATACTCCCACCAACACTTCCTTATTTACTTGTGCCTTTCTTATTTCTGATTCCAAACAAATCACTGAATCCATTGTATTACGTCCCTTCCTGAAACCACTTTGGTATGCGGCAAAAAAGTTTTCTTTTTCGATAGCATAAACCAGTCTGCTCATTACCATGCGTTCCATTAATTTACATATATTAGAAGTTAATGCTATGGGTCTGTAGTTATTTGGTTGTGACTGATCCTTACCTGGTTTTGCAATTGGTATTATGACACCGTGTTTCCACTCTGCTGGTAAAATCCCTGACTCCCATACTTTATTAAATAATTTTAGTATTATACATAATGAATTATCTGATAAATGCTTAATCATTTCGTTACAAATTTCATCTTTTCCAGGTGAGGTTTTCTTACTTTCTGCCAATGCTTTTTTTAACTCAAATAATGTAAATTCCCTATCTAATGTACTTTCAGATGGCCCTTTGTTTTCCAACAACCACGGATTCCTGATCAAGATCTGTTCCCTATTTCTTCTAATTTCTTCAGATAGGTTAGCGTTACTATGAAGTCTGGCAAAATTTTTTGCTAGAACTTCAGCTTTCTCCATATCAGAAATTACTAATCTGTTATTTTCTGTCAATGTAGGAATATTATTATTTCTTTGTTTTCCTGCCATTTTCCTTATCATACCCCATATGTCAGATACATTGACATCCTCCCCAATACTGTCACAGTACTCTCTCCAATAATTCTTTTTTGCCCTTCTAATTATTTTCCTCACTATTGCCTGAGCTCTTTTATAATTTATAAAGTCATTATAATTTAATGTTTTTCTAACTTTTTTTAATGCATTATTCCTTTTACTTACTACTTCGCTGCACTCTTCATTCCACCAAGGAACTGCTTTCTTCTTATCATTAGCTTTTTTTCTTCCTATTACTTCTTCCGCAGTGCTCTTAAGAACTTCACAAAGTTTAGAATTAATAACTTCCACATCATCCTCACATCTATCTATTTCCGACAATCTATTATTACATAATTCCTTAAAATTTTCCCAGTCAGCTGTTCTGAATTTCCACCTTGGCATTCTTTCTACCACAGTTCGAATTATCTGTATTCCAATTGAACTTAGAATTGGATAATGATCACTACCAATTGTGTTTTGCTTTAATACTTTCCAATCACATCTTCCAGCTAGGCTTTCAGAAACTAGTGTTAAATCTAAATTTGAGTATTTTCCTTTTATTAACTCTACTCTTGTGTAACCTCCATCATTGATACATACTAATCCTCCCCAATCCAGCATATCTTCTATAATTAGTCCATTGTAATCTGTTTTTTTACTCCCCCATAAAGTGTTGTGAGCATTAAAATCCCCGCACCACACGATTTTATTATTTCCATTCCCTTGGATATGTTCTAGATTGTCCTTACTTAATTTATCACATGGATTATAATAGTTTATTATTCTAACTTTCTGTGTTCCATCGCATATTTCAACTGCCACAGCTTCTTGTTCCCCAGTGATCTCAACTGCCCTATACCCAATACTCTGTTTAATAAATGTAGCTACCCCACCACCATTAGACTTGTCTCTATCTTTTCTTACCGAAGTGTATCCATTAATTACAAAATCTAAATGTGACTTAAGCCAAGTTTCCTGAACACATATGATGTCAGGGCTATTTTCATGATCTACTATGAATTTTTTAAATTCTTGTCCGTTTGCAATTAGGCTTCTTGCATTCCACTGCAGTATTGTTAATACCATTATATACTTCCACATGGTTGACTATATACTGTCTGACTAGTTCCTGATTGTATCTTGAGTCTATCGTTTATCATATCTACTGTAACACCCTCTAATTCCAAATATTTTGAAGCAGCTCTGATGATAATTTTAATTCTCTCGGTCCTGCTCTCCGTCTGCGCAGAGCAATTAACTACTTCTGCTATAAATGTGACGAACGATACTTTGTCAATACATACTTCATTATCTTTATTTTGTTCTTTCATCGTTGCTTTTTGTTGAGATTCTGTTACTCTGGTTTCTGGTTCTCTTGATGTCTGTTTAACTTTCTTTATAGCTTCAGCATACGAGATTCCCTCAGACATTCGGACATTTTGGACTTGTACAGCATTTTTCCTAACTTGACATCCTCCGTAGCCCGCACTGTGTTCCCCACCACAATTACAACACCTTGGCTTTACTTCCTGCCCACATTTACCATACTCATGGTCTCCCCCACATCTCGCACATCTCTGTTTACCTCTACAAACTGCCGCTACGTGTCCGAACTTTTGGCATTTGTAACAGCGTATTGGCGGGGGGACATATAGCCTAACGTTGTAGCTCAAATATCCTAAGTACACTCTTTCCGGTAGTTTGTTTTCATCAAAATGAATCATTACAGACAGACTGTCTACTTTTTCGTTATTTCTAACGCATTTTAGTCGTTTGACTTCTTTTACTGCTGCCCCAGTGATATTTCGTTTTATTTTCTCAACTGTAACATCAGTAGGGATTCCTGTTATTACTCCTCTAATCCATTTTTTTTCTTCAGGGATAGAACATATTACTTTATGCCCTAATAATGTCTTCATAGCCAAGGCCATCTTCTGTTGCTTATGATCTTTACAGTATATAATCATTTTCCCGTCTCTCAAGGTCTTAACACTCTCAATCGTTCCTAACATTTCTTTAAGAGTTTTTGTAAGCTTCAAAGGATTGATGGTATTCACAGAGTCGCTAGCAAACTTCAGCATTACCTTATACTCTTCTCTTCTCCTTCTCGCCTGGTGACTTCCCTTTTCGCTGTCCGATTCAGATATTTGTGCCCAACTTTTCTTTCTTTTACGATTTTCTACAACGCTCCATTCATTACTAGCATTACCTCCACTATCTCCGTCTACCCTCTCCTCCTCCATTTCCGGATCACTTCCGGAATCCACACTACCTTCCGCCATTAGCGCACCAGTCACAATCCAGCTCGTCTCACCAACCCCAGTTATTGACGCTGAGCTCTGAACTGGGTTTTTATTCAGAAGTCACACCATTTCAGACGACCTGCTGTCTTCTTATTGGGTGCTTTCCTTCAAAAAAATAAAAGTAAATCAAGTTCATTGGCTAGAACTGAGCTCCTACAAAGACTCGCCTGCCAATCACAAGCCTGTAAGTTTGAAAATTTAGTCCCACCCCTGCTGACTTCGCTCAGGGCTTCTTTGTCTGACATTCCCGCCATAATGTCTCATTTTTAATTTTAATTCATCTCATTTTTAATTCCTCGCTAAAACATTTTCTCTATTTATTAAAACTATAACAACAGCCCGTCAAAAATGCCCTTTTTTGTGTAATAGAGATATAGGTTAACTATTGTGGTTTATACACCATCCTATAATTGTAAAAGATTGATCTCAAACTAAGGTGTTTTAAAATCAATTAAATGCACAGATATGCTAACAGAAGCAGCTTAACTTACATTACAGGCGTATAGATATTGATAAGAAACCAACCGTCATCAAACATTTAAAGAAAATACTAGCAGCTCTAATAAACCCAAATCCACATAATGAAGTGTTAGCTTGTATCTGACAATTTATTGTCCATAAAACGGCTTGAGGGTCGCAAGTTACTTGATTCATTAGTTTGCACCATGGTTATATTGAAAAATCTTATTTGATTTAAAATAAAAAGTCGAAATGTGCTCTTTATGAAAGTGTGGGTGGCTCTTATAAGAGCCGTTGGGTTTTCAGGATGGGCTGCAGATGTTTAACCGCCGAAGCCGTACAGAGTGCGTCCCTGTCTCTTCAGCGCGTACACAACATCCATGGCGGTCACGGTCTTTCTCTTGGCGTGCTCGGTGTAAGTAACAGCATCGCGGATAACATTCTCCAGAAACACCTTAAGAACACCACGGGTCTCCTCGTATATCAGACCGGAGATACGCTTCACACCGCCACGGCGAGCGAGACGACGGATGGCGGGTTTGGTGATTCCCTGGATGTTATCACGGAGAACTTTACGGTGACGCTTAGCACCTCCTTTCCCAAGTCCTTTACCACCTTTACCTCTTCCAGACATGATCGATCGTAGTCAAAGCTCACGCTTCACAATAACAATAAACTGCCTGCTCAAAGACTTTTACAATTGCCTACAGGACCTCGTTGAAACACGAGAAGGCGGAGCTATATGCAGTGTCAGATGATCATCCCTCAATACGCAGCAATCTTCTTTGAGTAAGCAAATACTATACAGTTAATTGGAGGATGACAGAATCTGTTCGTACAGCAGCAGTTTATTATCACCATTCCAATCGCAGCACAGAGCATAGTATTTACAGCAGGGATTATTGGTATTTGTATTTCACTGTGGGGGAAGAAGTTTATCCAGTTAACAGGTCCACTTGAATACACCGTGAATTCATAGGAAGGGCTCTTGTGTTTTTGAACCATACTATAGTCGAGTGTTTTATACTGTATATATTATAGCATTTACAACCCTTTGTTAATGAAGGATACTGCATACTGTAGTATTAACTATAGTAAGCTGACAAGCTTTAGTGTATTGATGTAAATTGCTGTATCACAGTAATATTTATTTTATTTAGTATCAATAGATAATGCAGAAACTAAGTACAATACTGGGGAATTTAATCTATATTGCTTAATTGTTGTATTAAATAGCAACTATCAAATTACCACAATTTAAATATTTAATTCTTTAATGTAAATCAATAACACTTTTATTTACTATAAATTACTATAGTATTTTTTTATGTGAGTGGTGATTTGCTCTGATTCTAAATCAGATTTGACAGAGTTTATTATCAATATCCTTGCTAAGCAGTGTATATGATGTTGCACAAGTTTTTTTTTTCATTAAACATTATGTTGAATTGTGGTCAAATAAAAAGCAATGTAATAAAGGTGGATAAAATGCAAATGTTTAAAATAGTTTCTTCTCCGTATTTTAAAAACATTACACATTCTATTGTAAGTGTTATCAGGGATGGCCAAAAATATAATGAAATGTATTATAAAATAAAATAATACCCCAGTATTACATCTATCAAAATAAACTACAACATACAGCAGACACAACAAGTATCAAAATAAAATACTGTATTTTGTATTTCGAAAAAACTACAAGACATTCATTTGCAAAACCGACTATCAATACGTCTCTTGGATGAATATCTTCAATGAAGTAAACTATGTTTGATAGCAACAACTTTTCTCTGCCACTTTGTTGCCCTATAGGGGAAGTTTTGGCCTTATTATTATTAAGTTATAATAAATAGTTATTAAGTTGAACTTTAGGTTGAAACTTGTATTTTTCTTTGAATTATATACATTTATAACCATTTATTGCAGATAATGATTCAGAACATAGTACTGTATGTTGATTATGTTTCCACGTTTTAAATGGTCAGTAAATTGGCATCATCTCTGTTCAATAATTGTTCAACCTCAAAAGGGTGATAGGCTTATATGAAGAGTTAATTTAAGTTTTTTTAGCAGAATTTTTCACCCATTTTGCAATTAAACTATTCTCTCCTAAATATAAAACATGATTTTTGAAAAGTAAAACTAAAAACTTCATTTAAAAAAATTATATCTCAAAACTACAAAAATAACTGTTTTTGTAATTTATGCAGATTATAAATTAACTTGAGCACACTCTCCACTGATGTGACGGGCCAGCCGTATGTCTTTGGCTATGAAAATATAGAAAATGTATTGCTTTTGTATCTGTGAAACATGTCTTACATTTAAATAGATTCCAAAGGAGTTAAATGGATTATTTGCTGTATTTTTAACATTGGATATTAAGATTTTGTTACTACTTTAAAGCATTCGAGATGAACTTAATTTAAGCATCCTATAATTTGCTGCACTTTTTAAACTTCCTCTACTCCAGTCAACATAATCATATTGCAGTTCTAGCATCATCAGTTGTTTTCAATAGTTTACAATGATCATTTCAATCTAGAATTTGATTCTGGAAAACGTCTTGTGAAAAGTAATATTAAACTTCTGTTTTAAACCCCTTCCAACGAAAGCAGCAGACAAGATATAAGTAGGGTTTTTGTTTCCTCATTACACCACTACATCCTCAAGGGGTTGCACTACTGCTAACTAGCTCAAGTTGGTACAGATGTTGCACTGCTCATTTTAAGATTTGTACACGTATGATTGACTTTAGGTATTTAGTGAAATAATCACTTTATGCACCATTTAACTTAATAAAATTGCTGAGATGAAAATTCCCCTTCAATTGGATAAACTTAGGTGGCTCTTAAAAGAGCCTTTGACTTTTAAACGTATCTACAAATATCTTAAGCGCGCTCTCCGCGGATGCGGCGGGCCAGCTGGATGTCTTTGGGCATGATGGTGACCCTCTTGGCGTGGATGGCGCACAGGTTGGTGTCCTCGAACAGACCGACCAGATAAGCCTCGCTTGCCTCCTGAAGAGCCATGACGGCGGAGCTCTGGAAGCGCAGATCCGTCTTGAAGTCCTGAGCGATTTCACGGACCAGACGCTGGAAGGGCAGTTTGCGGATCAGCAGCTCAGTGGACTTCTGGTAACGACGGATTTCTCGCAGTGCCACGGTACCGGGCCTGTAACGGTGAGGCTTCTTGACTCCACCGGTGGCAGGAGCACTCTTGCGAGCTGCTTTGGTGGCGAGCTGCTTCCTTGGGGCTTTGCCTCCAGTGGATTTACGGGCGGTCTGCTTGGTTCTTGCCATGTTTTCAAAGTTCTTCTTTTGCTTTCTAGACAAAAGTAATAATTCAGTCAGTCTAGCAGCCGCTATTTGTACTCTGCTCTGCAGTGTTCTTTGTGGGCGGTGCGTCAGCAAGTCATTTGATTGGCTACTGCGAGTGAAATCTGACCAATGGCAGCACGTTCCGTTTTCAACAAAATTCAGCGACAGCCCGCGTTTTCTTTTGTTTACTTTACTATACACCTACAATGAGATCAACCCTTTTTATCCGCCTCACTCTCATGTAGAAGTTTGATCCTTTAGAAAGCAGATCATCTCAAACTCTAGGTTCCACGAATTGTAATTGTTGCTGTTGAATCCATAGCGAGTAAAACATCCATTAACTACGTCTGCAATGGTATTTCTTTACAATAATCAAGCAAGGTTTTGGGTCGAATAATTTATCTGCCCAGTAATTAATGTAAAATATAACCAATTTAAATCACATTTCACTTAAAGTGAATATAAAGCCACTTAAACTAATAGAGAAAACCAGTAGAGATCAATCATCATCACTTATCTGCCCGAAATGTTGCACAAGATTCACCATTTTAGGGATATGGTACACATCAGCTGTGAAATAAGCGTTTGTGTGAATTGTTTAAACAATCGCTTCTTAAGTTATGTGCAATCTCTCAGTAAGGTATTGCTGCTCTTTTCATAGAGAAAGTGGGTGGCTCTGAAAAGAGCCTTTAGGGGTCTTAGTTATTGACCTTCAGCTTATTTATTTGCCTTTGGCAGCCTTCTCGGTCTTCTTGGGCAGCAGAACGGCCTGGATGTTGGGCAGCACACCGCCCTGAGCGATGGTCACTCCACCCAGAAGCTTGTTCAGCTCCTCGTCGTTGCGCACCGCCAGCTGCAGGTGACGGGGGATGATACGGGTCTTCTTGTTGTCCCGAGCGGCGTTTCCAGCCAACTCCAGGATCTCAGCGGTCAGATACTCGAGCACAGCGGCCAAGTAGACTGGAGCACCGGCACCAACACGCTGAGCATAATTTCCCTTACGGAGCAGCCTGTGAACACGGCCAACGGGAAACTGCAGTCCAGCCCTGGATGAGCGAGACTTAGCCTTAGCTCTAGCTTTGCCGCCGGTTTTACCTCTTCCGCTCATTTTGATACCGAATACTAACAATTCCACGTCAATTGTAGAAACTGAGTGATAACAGTTGAACAGCTACTATTTAAGAGAGCTTGCTCGCCGTCTATTGGTCAGAGACAGTGACAGTTTTAAACCAATCTCTGCGCTTCCCTCCAAATTCCAAACTCCTCCCCTTTCTGCCAGTGTCTTCTGTCGAGCGAGTAAACTTATAATTTGTCTTATCAAATAAGCTTAAGGCCAAAGACAAAACATGCTGACAATTTTTTATACACAGCTCAGTTTTGATTTTTTGGCTTTTCATGCTTACAACTTTAATATAATCACCCAAATATACTCTTGTTTATGTCATTGCACTTAAATATTCGTTGCAAATTGTCTGTAGATTTTAGTTATAATGCAAAGCAGCATTGTTATATACAAGAATCTTTACTACACTTCTTTTTCCACACCTATATTCTGCTTTTCAGAGAACTGTGTTTATAAATACAGCTGATAATGATTGAACATAATGAAATACAAATTATTCAACGGACACAAACCTACGCATGTTAAAACACTAGTTGTATTACTTCCCTGAATAAAACAATTTCTTTCAAATAGTGCTAAAACTAAATCCTGTTAAATCATGTAACTACGTACGCTGCTCGCACAGCATGCGACTATGTAACCCCGCCCTAACGGGTCTCAACTAGGTCCTTTTAGCGACTGTAAAACCTTAATCTCTGAAGACACGGGTTCATTCATTCGTCTTTCGATTGCGCTCTAGCATTGAATACTGAAATCATGTCCGGAAGAGGCAAAGGCGGTAAAGGACTCGGAAAAGGAGGCGCTAAGCGTCACCGCAAAGTTCTCCGTGATAATATCCAGGGAATCACCAAACCCGCTATCCGTCGTCTCGCCCGCCGTGGCGGTGTGAAGCGTATCTCTGGTCTGATCTACGAGGAGACTCGCGGAGTGTTGAAGGTGTTCCTGGAGAACGTCATTCGTGATGCCGTCACCTACACCGAGCACGCCAAGAGAAAGACCGTGACCGCCATGGATGTTGTGTACGCGCTGAAGAGACAGGGACGCACTCTGTACGGCTTCGGCGGTTAAACATCTGCGCGCTTCCCTAAAAATCCCACGGCTCTTTTAAGAGCCACCCACACTTTCACAAAAAGAGCACAATAATAGAAACTAGTTGGGAAGTTTTGTTTTATTAGCACCGTGGCCTCAAAGCAAGAGGGTCACAAGTCCTGGCTTGGCCAGTTGGTGTTTATGGGTGGAGTTTGCATGTTTTCCGCGTGTTGGTGTGGATGCTCCAGATTTAATAAAAAAAAGAAACAGTCATTGCAATTTTTCATAATTTATTATAAATAGAAAGTGCATCTAAAAGTAAAGCAAACATGTAACAGCCCTAAATGACCAACACCACAAAAAGATCATGATTAAATAGTTAAAAAGTGACCGTGCTGTAGTAATCACTGCCAATCTCTCTGCAAACAGAAATGGGTTTTAAAAACAGCAGATGCCAAATCCAATTTCACAGCCGGCTGTAGGAAGTGTGTCCTCCTTCGTGGACTCTGCAGTAATCCTGACCCACCACAGCCCTCTTTTTGCATGGCTGGCCCAGTCGGGTGATGCCGCTGCACAGCGAGCGTCCTGAAAAAGAACTTGAGCCCCCCCAAAAGACAAATTAAAATGTGAGGTACAGTGATATTAAAATTGAAGCATCGTGACATGTCAAACAACTTCTGCAATACAACTTTCATTCAGTTAGTTTCAGTGTAATTTCAACAAATACATCAATATTAAAATGTAGGACTCATGTATATAAAAATGTAACCAGTTTTGTAAATAACTCAAATGCAAGGTGTATAATAAACAAATGCAAAAGATATTAAAATTTAACTGACTTGCACATTGCGTGTCATCCAAAACAAATGTGCTTCATTTTTTTAAAAACCTATTTATTTGTAATGTGACAGAAAAACAATACACTATCCTTAAACTGCTGCTTTGTTGATGCAATTGAGCCAATTTAAGAGGCATCACGACTAAACAGACATGCTAACAGTGCTGAAAATAAACCAACAGTGTGCAACAGGGTTCAAGACGCATCTCTTTCATGTTTGGCATGTCAATATCAGCCCAATCAGCAAACCACACAGTATTAAAGAGACCGCTCGCACCGCTCTCTCTTGCTGGAGACGCCCGCTCTCGTTTACAATGCAGTCAAGGCGAGGCGCACCTCAAACGAGCCTATTGACAGGCACAGCGGCGGGAAGCGCTGAACTGAACATGAATTGAACCACTCGAATATTTATCGGTGCTTCACAATAAACTATAGAATGGCTTCAGAACATTTGGGATAAAGTTGGCTACATGACAACTTTCTGGGCCCTTATAATAGGCGACCTTCATGGCTTTTGTTGGCTTATGAACTACACAGAATATAGCGCACGTGTAAGATCGGTACAAGCTGGCCGATACCCCATCCAGCAAAAATATGTGCTGTCGAACCGATATCTGATCCAAGTATCAGGAATTTAAACCAATCTCTGCGCTTCCCTCCAAATTCCAAACTCCTCCCCTTTCTGCCAGTGTCGAGCGAGTAAACTTATAATTTGTCTTATCAAATAAGCTTAAGGCCAAAGACAAAACATGCTGACAATTTTTTATACACAGCTCAGTTTTGATTTTTCGGCTTTTCATGCTTACAACTTTAATATAATCACCCAAATATACTCTTGTTTATGTCATTGCACTTACATATTCGTTGCAAATTGTCTGTAGATTTTAGTTATAATGCAAAGCAGCATTGTTATACACAAGAATCTTTACTACACTTCTTTTTCCACACCTATATTCTGCTTTTCAGAGGACTGTGTTTATAAATACAGCTAATAATGATTGAACATAATGAAATACAAATTATAATAGGCTTATAATAGGCTACCTTCATGGCTTTTGTTGGCTTATGAATTACACAGAATATAGCGCACATGTTAGATCGGTAATAGCTGGCCGATACCCCATCCAGCAAAAATATGTGCTGTCGAACCGATATCCGATCCAAGTATCAGGATCGGTGCATCCCTATTTAACACCTATTTTTACAGATTTTGCTCCAAAAATTATTTGAAAATAACAAAAATTTACTTCTCAGCTGCCACAGTGCTTTAAAATAAAACTGACAATTGCTAATGCCGAGTATTGTGAAGACTTTAAGTAATAGATTTCTGGTTCAGAGCTATTGATATTGGACATTTGTATGGTATATCAATCCAAATACACTGAATTCATGTTGATTTTAGGACTTTATTAAAGCATACCTGCTGCTGGCGAGTGATTGGTTGGGACTTGAGCTTCGCGAGCGGTTCACAGTCTCCAAAAATACTCCAAGGTTCCTCTGAGGAATGTTATCCAGCTCTGTCTGCAGATCAGAAAACGTATCCGTCACAATTCTGCGGTGCAATGCAGCACATTAACCCTTAATTGGTAAATATTGGACGTGTGTAAAAGGTCTTGTAACAATCTCTTATATAATACATGTATTTTGTGTAGTCTTGTAAAGCGCTTTGAGACAGCAACTTTTAAAGCAAGTAACATAACGAACAATACACATGAATGAAACGAAGCACAAATACGTCAAAACAAGGTCACGTTGACCTGAAATGCCAACAAACTCCGTATCAAATCAATATAAACGCATATAAAATGGGAAATCTTAAAATGAAACGTTTTAAGAAGCAAGACGTAATACACGTTTCTGACATCCCTAGAGTGTTTAGTGAAGTTTCAGCTCAAAATACCACACTGATAACGCTTCATAACTCTCTTAATCCGCCCCTTTTAGGCTTTGATCCTAATTGTAGTGTTTTGGTGACTGTCGCTTTAAATTTAAATGAGGCGGTGCTCTATTCTGAAGAGGGCGGAGCTACAGATGCCTGTGTGACAGCATAGTGGCAGATTGAAAACAGGACTAGCGTTATCAGTGCTGGTCTGCATGTGTGCTTCAGTGTGAGCGTGCACTTCATGCTTCTGTCAGTCTATGTCACTCCTGTCGATGTTCATCTCCACTCCACATCTATAATCTTCTTAGTCTATGCTGACATTATCTTCAGCAGCTCAAACACTCTGATGGCTAACGGACAGACGGCTGCTTCTCACTCAGGGCTGCTGGACATGCTAATGAGATGGGACTAGTGGGCGGGGCTTTCCCCCCTCGGATGACATCATATAAAGGGAGAATGTCAGTCAAAGTGTTTCTGCACTGTTTTCATCAAGTTTGAATATAACAAATAAACAAATTCATGCTTCTCATTAGAGGCTGGATATATTCACACACTGCTTTCACACAACTTGTGTTTGAACCCCTTATAAAAGTGATTTTTGCATAATGGGACGCTTTTAAATCTCAAACACTCAGAGAAAATTGAGGTTGGCGCTTTATATAATGAATTTGGGACTCACTGCTGCAATGCTGTGGCGGCTCTTGAGTCTCGGAGTTGAATGGTTCGGTGTACCGCCTAAGTGGTGATGACTGAACTTTGGTGGACAGCGAGATGGAGAAACGCCCAGCACACATGGATCACCTACACACAAAAACAGCAGAAATGTGTTACTGAGCTGATTAAAGTCAGGCAAAAATGCTGGGTGCCCATCATCAGGGTGTGTTAATGCACATTTTGGAGTGTAGCATGAAAAACAAATGAAAGAATAGCGTGCGTTCGTTGGCCTAGTCCCTTATTTATTGGGGGTTGCCACAGCAGAATTGACTGCCAACTATACTATGTTTCACACAGCAGATGTACTTTCAGCTGCAACACAGTAATAGGAAACACCCATATACACTAATACACTAAGGCCATTCAATTTAGTTCATCCAATTCCCTGCCCATGACATGCATCCATGTCTATTGTAGTGAATTTGACGCACGAACAGAGGGAACTCAAACTGTTCACGCGTCAATTTGCGCGCAAACAATGCGATTTATCTGCACGTGCTGCATCTGAACATAGCATTAAAGGGACGAGCATTAAAGGGACGGTTGACCCCAAAGGAACACGAAGGAAGATATTTTGAAGAATGTGGAAAACCGTAACCATCGACTTCCATATTATTTGTTCTTGTAGCACACTCCGCGTTGAGCTGGTGATGCTGCAGTTTAAATATCTAAAGGATGAAAATATAAGACAGTCATAGTTTTGTTGCTCTTCATAGTCGAGTCGCTCTCATAATATTTATTACAGACATTTGATCACAATGTATTATTATTTCATACATTTTTCAGTAATGTTTAAACAATCCAAACAATATCATTAAACAGTGTTTTATGCACAATAAATCCTTGTCTCATAAAATATGCATGATACATATAAATAGTTCATTCATAAACATATTATTCACATATAAAAGTTATTACTTAATCTCCAAACCCTATTTTTACTATATCACATTGTTACAGTATGCTTTGTATTTAACGTTTTGCATTGTGTCCATTTAAGTATTAAACATCTTTGGCACAGTATTAAACATCTGCTCTGCATATATGAACTAGCTCTGAGCAATTCAAATGTAAACAAATCTGTTACAGTCATTAAGTGTAACTGTCATTTTTGATTAAAAGTGCATTTATACTGCTGGAATTGTTATTAATACTCTTTTTCAACAATTTTATTACAATAATCTAACTTTTACATAGAATTTAAGCGAGGTGGAGCTCCTTTTATAAACTTTGCAGCTACCAAATGACACACCCGGCTGCTGGTGGCTGTTATGATACAATGTAAGCAAATCGATACAATCTTGTCTACAAAGTACCCTTTAAACTGCACAATACCTCAGTAAACCTGTTAAGACACTTGAATAACATGTTATTTTGGCATTTCAATGACATTATGACAGGATTGATCCACCTAAAAGATGAAAATATGAGACGGTCATAGTTTTGTTGCTCTTCATAGTCGAGTCGCTCTCATAATGACAGTTCAGCGGCTTAGGGTTACCCTGGCAACCCAGGACAACAAACCACCCCACTCACATTCTCCACTCAAAGTAATTCAAATAAATGCAACACTAAATGTACAATAGGATTCCTTATATACAATAATTATTATATATAATTATAAGGAAAGATATTCATATGCATATATATACATGTGACTAATCATTTAGAGTCATATTTTCCCTATTTTAGTTTTCAGCTTTATTCAATATATCTTGTTTTGTGT